AATGCCTTGAGCCACTTGCAGAAAATCCATCCTCAAGATTGTAACAACATTCATCTCTGTAGAGCTATCCCAAAGCCTTAGAATGATATGTCGGATTCCTAATCCTTGCAATGAACTGGAGTCTTGCCATGTGGAATAGAACTCTTAATTGTAAAGATTATCAATAAATAATTGTTCCATCTTATAATTCACATGTTTCTTAATCACCTACACTAGATATTTTTGAGTTATTATAGCAAAATTTGCTTATTTTTTTTTATAAAATATTAATTTTTACTTAATGAAGACAATTTCTCTAAATGGATTTTATTCAGGTTGAAAAAAGAAAAATCTATATGTTTTCATTATTTAAATAAACAGCTGCTTACTGCCAGAAGTGATTAAATGCATGGATGGATCTGTACATAATATTGCTTTTAGCTAAACTGACTAGTATAAATTATGTCCCTTGGGAATTTATGTCATGTTTTTTGGAATACTTTGCAGAGAGCATGCAGCCTAATTTATCTCTACTGTCCTTTATTTTACTCCTATTAGTAGGTCTTTTTGTCCTTTGAATATCTATATGGCTATTTAATCTCAAGAACAGCAGGAAAGTTTATATTTTATGAAGGCTAACACTTGGGGGAAGAGTTTGGGAATGTTTATTTATGTACTGTACTGTTCTGCATTCAGTAGCCAGTTTACTTAGATTTTCATGTTGACTAAAACTGCTTGCTCTCCCACCCCCACCCCCCGGTTTAGATGGACATGCAAATTTCTTGTAATTTCTGGGATACAAAAAAATAAAAATGAAATTGTTCAGGTATTACTTATTAGAAGCTGATTTCTTTGGCATTTTAATAATTTGCAAACATCGGTTTGTGAAGAAAGAGATATAAATTTTAATCTAGTCATTAATTCAAATAGACTATACATTCTTAATTAAAGAAATATCTTTCTAGGTCAGGGGACTATAAGCAAATAGCTTGTACATTAGGATTTCTTTATATAATCCTTATATATTTGGACTTTTAAATAAATGATTACTTTATTGAAATTCAGGTTAAACACCAATTTTCCACCCACATAAAATAGGTAGTAAAACTTATTTTTAAGGATTAAATTTCAATATGTACAATTGCATATTTTAATCTATTCATTTCAAAGGCAATGTCTACCTCTTTTCAATTAAAAATATTAAAATAATTCAGATTAAGATTATGAATAAGATTCCAAATTCCTTAAATCTGGCTTGATTGCATATTATCTGTTCTACTTGATTCTATTTTTTCGCATTTTTCTTGTTAAAAAATTATTCAAAACAAATAACAGAAATAAACTTCATATAATTTTAAATTATTATATAATAGATATGTGCAACATTATAAATTATAATATACCTAAAGCTATTTGAGTGATTTTTAAAAATAATGTAATATTCATATTATGAGGTTATAAATAAAGAACAAGAAGCAAAGTATGAATTTAAGTATATGTGGGATGGATAAAAATATGGTTTCCAAATGTAGAAATATGTAGAGAGGAGAATATGTTTGGTGTGTGTGTGTGTGTGTGTGTGTGTGTGTGTGTGTGCGCTAAATTGCTTATGAGTGGCATTTTCAATTCACCTTCCCCAAACATATAATAGATGAAAAATATAATAGATGAAAAAGTTTTGATTCTTGTTCCAAATGTTGGATGTGTTGTGTATTGGACTGTCTGTATTATTGTTAAAAAGTGTTAAGAGCTAATGCCTAATGTCTACAACTAGAAGAATATGTATTTAATTGCTAGATTGGATATTACCAGGACTGTGATTGCTTCAGAAATGATAGATAAAGAGTACTTCAGGCTTTACATGATAATGGCACAGCACTTATTTATTGATGTTGCTTGACATTTTCAGTTTAACCAAGATTCAACTTTGCATATTTGTTTCAGGATATATGGAAGCCTGAAAAAAGTTGTGTAGCTTTAATAAGTGGTGCTAAGTGTGTTTGCAGAAGGTGCAGCCTCCTTATTCCAAATCAGTTTTGAAGATGCGAAGATCTTTATTGTTTGCTGATACAGTGTACCATTTTAAATTTTCTCACTTCAGTGTTAAGAGAGTGTTTATCAGTACTTAGCTACATATGTACTAGTACACATAACACAAATATCAAACAATAAAACGTAGCTTAACAGTTGGCCTCTTATAATGATTAGGAGGGTTTTTTCTTTTGGGCATCTGTTAAGAAAAATCTTTGTATGTTGTTTGTATCTGTTCTGTATGTTGAGTAAGATTTAAATAATAAACCTTGTATAATCTGTATCTGTGTATTTGCAGATATTGTGCATGAAAACAAGTATATTCTTTACATTGCCAATCCTACTTCAAATGCTGATGATGATGATGATTTTTAAAATCATTTGGAGGGTCATGATTTTTTTTCTCTTTACTGAGTGCCTCGAAATATAAATGCTAAAGTTTCTATGCTTTATGCTCAACTGTCAACCATATCTTAAAATTGTGTAAGTAGACAGCATTGGGGGTATTATTCAGTAGGAGCTGATGCCAATAACCTGACCTAGTCCATCACCTGCTATGTCCCACTATTAGTCATATCAGGCAAATTGAAGGCATGTAGACTTCCATCCTGAATGACAATTCCACACATCTTGTTGGAGTTTCCAAGATTAAGAAACACTGCTCTATCTTATGAATGTAGGATTTTGTTCTTTCCTAGAAACTGTCCAATGGCTTGGTTGGCCTCTTTGCACTCTTGATTCTGAAAGGTTTTTCCAGTTTTTTCTTTGTGCTTGCTTTGAGTTGTCAGTTTCTCAGTCCTTGACAGCTGCTAGGAGAGAAATAAAAGCATCCCTGATTCCTGGCCACTTCTGCAAAAATGAGGCTGATCTCCAATTGCTTCCTATTACAGCCATATGTTCCTCCCCCTGAATTTCTGATTGGGAGCTACAGACATCTTGTGACAATTGCTTGGAAAGGAAGTGGTTAGTTACATTTGGCGAAGCCGAAACATTATTTTTTTAAAAAAATCCAATGAAGGATATTTCAGCAGAAAAATGATCTAAATTTCTTTAGAACACACAACTGTTCTTGGGGAAATATTATTGTGGAGCTGGTGAAACAGACATTAGTACCTACTTTCTCTGTATGTGAGAGTATATTATATGTGCACATTCTGAAAATTCATTTGCATATATAAATATTTTTATGTAGGTTTACAAAAAAGCTTGGAATTTATTTCATATATCAGTACTAAAGTTGCTGTAAATGTGCTTTTTATGTGAACTATGCCAGATGTCATATGAGGGTTGCAACATCTGCCTTATCAGGTCTGCAAGAATAGCATTATAATGCATAACAGAAGAAGAAAAAAAAGATCCCGCTTTGAACTTGAAAGCATGCAGAAGGAGTACAGTGAGGAAATAAATATGTTTCCTAACTGCGCTGTAATCTGGATCTCATTGTGTCTTGGATTCTCTTTAAGGGTAACCCACCTGATGTCGAGCATTGGCATATCGAATGTTTTACAGATGGTCCAGCATCAGTGACTCATGTAGCTGTAGATGATTATCTGTCACACAGATGTTTTAGCTTGTATTTTTCAACTGGCCACTCAGCAGCAACCGTTTCTGGTGGCTCAGCAACAGATGTTTCAAATGTCTGAATATCTTGTCCATCCTGAAATTCAGCAGCTAGTTCCTTTACATATTTGATCCATTGCAGTAGTTTTGGAAGCAATTGGAGAATGTGTGTTTCCTTGTACAACTTCTATCTTGAGTTTTATTATCACACTAGAAGAGATAAATATGCTGCTATTCCTTGCTCTTACCCAAATGTGCTGTTGTTTTCAGAAGCAAATCTGGAATCCCGATTGAAATTATTATCACTTTTAATTTTCTTCTTGCATTTTCTTCTTCATTTATTCAATCATATATAATTGCAGCTAGTAAAGGCAAATACTAATAGTCCAGGACTGTCAACTTTGCAAAGGGCTCACTTATAATGTAAATATAATATAAAATTTATAAAGTAAATAAAAGCCAAAGTCAGTTTGCTGTCATTTAAGAAATGGCAATGATGCAATCTGAAAACTATGGGAGTGTTCTGATAAAATTCAAGACAGTTAATGGAACATTTATATAAATATTGCTAATTAGGAAAAAGTTAGCCATGTATAAATAGAAAAATAATTATCTGTTTTCTCTTTTAGTTACAAAAGGTGTTGAAATTTATCTAACATAATGTTAATCAAACACACGCTAATTAATCCTTTCCCATTATTCTCCAATGTTGTCTCTACACATTTGTCTGTAAAGTATAGAGACTGAAAAACTGAAAAACTCTACACTGTATTTTAAAGCTACTATGTTTATTATATACATCTAATAAATATAGTATATTTAAAATAAAATTAACATTTAGACTTTGAAAACACAACTACCAAGCTTATTTTACATTATATCTCTAAATCTTTAATGTCTGATAAGCAGTGATGAGACTATGCAATTTTAAGCTCATAATTTAATGATCCTACAGCTAATGTATTTCTCCCTTGGGGTAGAACACCATGTATTACAGAAAATGCTATATTTAAAAGTAAAAACATGAGCAAAATGAATCTGTTACATATATATGTTTAGTTGACAAATTCCATTTAGTCTTGCTGTTTATGAACTTGGTTTAACAAGTATGTGGATATAATACAATATATATATATATTGTAATGGACTTCTCATATATACATTATTGTACAGTTTTTCTAGTATACAGTAGTTTTTTCTATGCAACAAATGCAAAATGTGTATTTTTCTGTAATATACAAGTTTCAGTTTTATTGTTCACTGCAAATTAAGTTCTTTATATTTGAGAGATCTAAAGCTGTTTATTCTTATGAAATTATTGGGCTACAAATTGCTCATATAATCCCATTGTAAAGAATTGAGCCAAGTGGCTTTTCATCTTTATATTTTTCTGTTTACTCCTTTTACCACATTACTATTTTGTATTTCAGATGCTTTCTAAGTCCATAGAACAATTAAAACAACCTGGCAGTTTGGAAGAAGCTGAGGAAGAATTGCAAGGAGAGCATTTGATGCAGGAAGAAGGAACTGCCCCTGTTGATGTCAGCATTAGGGATGACAGCAGTAACATTTCTTTGCAAAACAAGTTGGGACAATCTTTTGGAGCTGTGAAGGTGAAAAAGGAACCAAAGGACAGTGATGACGATATTCAAAATCAGCAAATGGAATCTGGGGAGCAGTCTGCTTTTATGCAACAGGTAATAGGCACAGATTTAGCTCCAGATTTTATCATTAAAGTGATTATTTGAGTACAATGATGTTAACATTTTGAAATTCCTGATAAAGAGAATGTTTATTATTTTTTCCATCTTCAGAATCCCAAAGAGTTATGCAATTTAACACTCAGCATAATTAAGAACATAGATGTGTCCATACTTTAAGTATAGTGAAAAAGGGCTTGTTAAATTAAAGAACACTTGCAGTTGTATATATACCTTTTAGTAATTAGTAGAAGTCATATTAATTATAGTGGATTCTGCCACATTAGATCTAGCAGAAAGGAACTCATTGATGTATAAACTTTCTGTGGAGATCAGTGACTACTGACCAAACCTGAGAACTGTGCTTTTTCATACTCACTCTTGCCTATCTCTAAGCCTTTTTTTATATTGCTTAATATACAATTTATTCACTTTGTATATGTATAGTAGAGTAGTAGTCCTACACACTGTTAAAGGGAGTGGATTCTTTCCTTTGTTACACAAATACCGGTCCAAATACCAGTGATCTGAGCTTTGTATATAATATGAGGGAACCAATGTAGAAAGCTAATGCAAAAAATTGAATGTACTTTTTAAAATGATTTTTTCCTCTCCATTTTCATTAATTTTTTGTGAATTTTTTAAAAAACCCATTCTTTTCTTTCTTCCATTTTTAGGTATTTGTAGCAAGGAATCTAACTTTCAAGTTATTATATATTTCCTCTTTAGTTGACTTGTTCTCAAATGACAATATAGTACACACTGTAGCAGAGAAGTTTACATGCTAATGACAGTATCAATATTTTCTGCATACACTTTATTCTTTGTATTCTGTGATTATTCAGATTCCTAGGTTATATATGAATTATAACATATGATAAAACAACAAAATAATTGGGATTTTTTTAAGACTATGAATAAAAATACATAGTGTTTAAATATAAACACTAATATGCCAAAAAGGATTTTTTTCCCCTAAGGCATGCATGCATTTGTAGGTAACTGTGCTTCCAAAAGGATTGTGGTCCTTTCAAATGCTATATCATTGAAATAACTTGATATGCAGTACAAACAGTTGCTGATTTAACTCAGAGTTATGTCAGTCACTTCATTTTTCCTGAAAAATAATAATGGTGGTGGAGGTAGACAGAAGTGCCTTGTGGAAACAGGAAGTCCAAGTAATTCATGCATTTGGAATGTAAGAACAGAGCAAAGAGAAGCAGAGGTTTGTGTTTTATTCTCTGTTTTGTAAAGAGTACTCTATAAGTTGATTTATGTTAAGACAAAACAGCACGGTGAATAGGGAAATTGTTATGGAAGTTTTCCAGTGAAACATTTCCTTTTCTATTTCCTTTTGATATGTTTATTCTCTTGTAGTTTACTTCTGTTTAGCTAAAGACTCATTGTATTTACATCCCCTTATGCATTATTCAGGATTGACCTGGAGTGAATTTTCTGTTATATTGTTTATATTTTAAAGTATTTTAAGATTCAGTCTACTTTCTAACAAAGGTGTTTTGCCAAATGAAGAATATTATTCTAATATAAGCTTGTAGTATTTACATTTTAACCTTATTTTTAAAGATCCATTATAAAATTTTGCAATATGTACAGACTAACATTTTTCATGTGAGTGTGGATATATATGCCTTTACACATAAAATAGAGTAGACAGGCAAATACAATGTTTATAATTGATTATTTTCTTACACTGGACGAAACTCATAGTATAATGTTTATATGCTTCCAGGTTATTTCTTGTGACAAATGTAGATATTTACCTAATTCATTATATGCAAAAAAGGCAGAAGTACTTAATGGTATATATGAGTTTCTTTCACAGGGAGAATACCAGGATAAGAAAATAGTAATCTGTGAAACAGTTCTAAATTCTAAACTATATACCTATAGCACAACTGTTGCTCTTTCCAGTGACATATATTGGTTTATTATTTTCTTTAGACTTTTGGTTGTTTATTTGGTGCTATTCCCCACACTTCTCAATATGTGTATCTGGCTTCCCACAAGCAGTTTCATTTACTAAGTCTAAAACAGAGAACTCCACCATATAGGTGGACCTCCTCCGCCATTCAACTTCTTAAATATGTGCTACAGGAAGAGGAGGGGATAGAAGCTGATAATCTATTGTTATGTTATCTGTTAATAACATCAAGTAGCATATTAAGTATGTTCTGATCCTACACATTTTTGTTTCTTTTTATTCATACAGTCTTTTAGCACAGAGAGACAGAAAAAGTGCATTTTTGTACTATATTTTATTTGGATAAGAACCTGAATACATTTTTCTATAAAATGTTTCAAAAATACATGTGAAAGAAAGAGAAAGAAAGAAAGAAAGAAAGAAAGAAAGAAAGAAAGAAAGAAAGAAAGAAAGAAAGAAAGAAAGAAAGAAAGAAAGAAAGGTATTTTTATAATGCAGTTGTGAAAATTTACCTCATTCTAGCCAACTAATTTCCATGTTATTTAAATTTTTGAGAAATTACCAGTGAAAAGGGAAAACTGGGTTTAAGAAATTTTATTTTTGATTGCTAATTGTCACATTTAAAATCTATTGTACTTATTATAATTTACACTTTTGGTGATTTCTTGTTTGTGTTGTAAAATATTTTGTTTGTATGTTTCCTATTTTGCCTAATACAAATTTATATATTCCTTTCACAAATAAAGATTTTTTTTCTCAAATGATTTCCTTTCACCTATTTGACTTTGTGTAAATTTGATTAATTCTTAAAGCTAGTTCTTTTTATTTTATATTGGCAATACATTTTTATTACTGTTCAAACAATGGTTTAGAACCATGATTTTATTCTCCAGTTTAAATTACACAAAGTCTATTTTTGGTTTGTTATGTGATCCCACATTAACCATCACACATTGTAAAAAAAAATATGGAAAAAATATCTATGCATGTTCATTTTATCCTCATCACATTTGTCTTAATTTGTGGATCAACCATTTTATCATCTTGAAAAATGTAGTATAAATAAATACCAGTTTTCCAGAATTTTCATTTTGATTATTCAAAGTTTTGACCCATGGATATGATTTGACTCCAAATGTTTTAAAAATTAGTATGGAAGTAATTTATTTGCACATGAAATATTATAGAATTGGTGGTAATCCTGAAGAATTTACAGTAAGTAATTCCTAGAACAGCATTTGTCGGATTGCAGGTTTTCTGGAGTGATGTCACCTATTAAACACAATCTAGCTATCCTCTTCCTAAGGGGAAGCACTCAGATATCCAGTTGGGCAGAACTGTATATTTTTTTATAAAAAGCTGATATGCTACAGTGAAAACATATTAACTCATGATCAGCAGTCAGCTCTCACCTGCTGAAATAGACTAATGAAGCTTAGGTAGTAATGAATAAAATAGACAGTGGTGGGATTCAGCCAGTTCGCACCACTTCGGCAGAACAGGTACCAATTTTTTTTTGCCCAGGCTCAGAATGGACTTCTGGAAGCAGCACCCACACAGAGAACCGGTTGTTCACATATCTGAATCCCACCACTGATAGCAAGCTCTAAGTTGACATGAGTTTTCTCATTGTTTTCTCTTCAGAAAATTTAATACAGCTATCTTTCTGAAAGCTCTTTCTTTGTATGCCATTCCTAATGAAAAAAAAGTTTTAAATAAATCATTTAAAAGGTTAGTAAAAATTAAAGAAATCCTTGTTGTGGTAGGTGCATGCACATCATAAAAAATTAAAACACTAATTTTCTAGTTCAAACTTTATACCTTAATTTTTTCTTCTGGAAAAAATATTTTGGATACAGCATTTACAATATCATATCCATTTGTTTCATCAAAAGATAGGGACGTGCAAAATATTTCAAATTCATTGTGTTGCAATATGGAAATACTATATTTCAAGTTTGAACCATTGCAGATGTGTTTCAAATTTGAAACAGTTCTGCTTCAGATACAAAATAGATGTCTTCATCTTGAATTAGGGCCATTTATTTACATCAACAAACTTCTGAAACAGTTAGAACAATCTATTTTGAACTGCACACATCTGAACATTTCAGACAAAGTGTTTTAACACCTGTATCAACCTGGTCACTTTTTAAATTTTTTGTTCCACATCCTGTCAATTATTAAATATTTATGTATGAACAACATTTCATTCCATAAAATACTAGAATTCAGAAGAAAAACAAACAATGTATGTAGGAGTTAAAGTGGCTACATTCTCAGGAAAATCAGTATACTTTCTTCAAAAGTTTTTCCTAATATGTGTTCATTTGTGCATGTTAATGATAAGTGCAAGGATTGGTCATATGTCACTTTTTTTAGTGCCATCATAATTTTGAATGGTTGATAAATGAATGGTTGTAAGTTGAGCACTAACTGTGTGGGCTTTCTTCAAAGCAGTTGCATCCAATATTCTAGAGCAATGTTTCTTGACAGCTTTAAGCTTTAAGATCTGTAGATTTCAGCTTCCAGAATTACGTAGCTAGCATACTATATGGAGAATTCTGGGAGTTGAAGTCCATACCTTAGCATTTCCAAGTTTTAGAAATACTATTCTAGAGGACATGGTTACTTTAATAACTCAAGAAAGAGTTAAACAATACATATACTTTAAGGAATCCTAACATTTTAACATTTTCTTTAGCTATGCATAGTCTTAATATTCAAATAAACATTTCAGGGGTTTTTTTTGCTTGCCTCTATACTCAGTGCACATACATACACACACACACAGACACACACAGAGACACCCTACTGATTGGTGTACCGTATGTACAAAGGAAAACAACAACTAGAAGTAACCTTGAGCATTTCACGTATGAATAAAATTGAAGCTTGGAATATTAGGGGATAGATTACAGTGTCATATCCAATAATTTTAAAAAGTGTTTCATGCTACATTTCAAGACATTATTATGCCATGCATATTGTGGAAATATATTATGCTAAATTTTCTAGCAGTTTTGATTTTCTATATTTAACAATTTCAATCTGCAACTGAGACAATCCTCTCCAATCTTTCATATTTGTTGGACTTCATTAC